TTCAAGCTTGTAGAATTGTAAAGTATAGGGGCTCTCTCGCGCGGGGGGGGGGGGGGGGTGCAAATCAAAATCCAACTAGAGGACATCAAAAAGGCTTGAAATCAAGCCCGAGCTCGCGGGCACGAATGTCGTCCGGAAATGGGCTGGCCTTGCGGGCTAAGTTATGCCTAACTTCGGTATCATTTTCCATCTGTTATAGTCACTTGGCTCGGCCAAAACCTGTAGCACGAGAGGTTGTGGTGCACCGAGAGCAAAACTCTCGTGCAACGGTGAACACAAGAGGTGTACTCTCGTGGTGTACCACAGCACGAGAGTGTGAACTCTCGTGCACCCCAACGGTCTGAAACCCGAAAGTGCAGAAGATTAAACTCATCTGTTACGGAATTAATACTGTTTTAATTCCAATTTTAAATTATGAGTTTAATCCTACTTAGTGGTGACCGTTACAGGTGTTACACAATTGGTTTTAACACCAATTTAATGGCCATGTTGAATGCTATCACTCCAACATCCCTATATAAAGTGAGGTAGAAGCAGTAGCATTTTACACAGTGAGAAACAAAGGAATTCCAGTAACTTTTCATCTCAAAACTTCTGCTTCTACTCTCTTCTTTAGCCAATCTGTGTTCAAGCTTTGCTTTGTTCGACGGGTTCCTTGTTTAGGTGCTTAAACAAGGAATCGTAGCACGTTTTATCCTGGGAAACCTAGGCTACAACGCTCCTAGCACTTGTGGGAGGTAGCAAATAAGGTTTTAAGGAAAAGAACTTCATGTTCGAACTCGTGCTAAACCTTTACCCAAACACTCAACCTTTTCTTTCCCAATTTTCTGTTTTCCCATATAATATTAATCTTTCCGTAGGATTATTATTATTTTGGGATTTTACAACCATATTACCCAACAATCTTAAAACCTTATATCCGTTTCCCGTTGGTTGTTTATCTCTAATTTCCTAAAAGAAATGGAGAATCCAGTTTTGCCAGCTCTCGGGGAGGAGAATGTTGTTGAGAACAACAGTGGTGGGAATGGCAATAATGTTGCTAATTCCCAGGCTACACCAGTGAACGTTGGTTCACAAGATGGTGGGAGCACTGAGGGATATATTCCCATGACTCGGGTACCTACGGTACCCAGTGGTTCGGCCGAAAGACCGAAGAAATTCACCGGTATTGGATCGAATTTCAAGAGGTGGCAGCAAAAGATGCTGTTCTACCTGGCAACTCTCGGCTTGGCAAGATTTTTGACCGAGAAGGTTCCCGAACTAAGGGAACAGGATGCCCAATCCGTGATGGCAGTTGGCTATTGGAAGGATTCGGACTTCCTATGCCGAAACTACATCCTAAATGGATTGTGTGATGCGTTATACGACGTATATCGCAAGATTGGCACAGCGAAAGCGCTGTGGGAAGCTTTGGATCATAAATACCGAAGTGAGGATGCCGGCGCAAAGAAATTTGTGGTTGGGCGATTCCTTGACTTCAAAATGGTTGATTCCAAAACCGTGCTAAGTCAGGTTGAAGATTTACAACTAATCTTTGATGAAATCCGTGACGAAGGCATGACGTTGAGTGAAGCCTTCCTAGTGGGATCTGTCATCCACTTGCTGCCTCCAGGGTGGAAGGACTTCAAGAACTACCTTAAGCATAAGCGAAAGGAAATGAACCTGGAGGACCTGATCCAGCGACTCCGAATTGAGGAGGGGAACAAGACGAATGATGGAAGAAATTCTCACTATTGGTGCTAAAGCCAATGTTGTGGAGCATGCTAAAAACTCCAAGAAGAACAAGAAGGACAAGCAAAAGCTAGGTCCAAAAGGAGGCATTACCAAGAAGAAATTTCATGGAAAATGCTTCAATTGTGGCAAGATTGGCCACACGTCCTCTGAGTGCAAAGTTCCAAAGAAGAAGAACAAGAGTTCTGAAGCCAACATGGTTGAGGAAAGCAATTAGAAGGAGGTCGAGATTAGTCTTTCGGCTATGGTGACCGAGGTGAACCTCGTGGACTCTAACCCACGAGAGTGGTTCATGGACACTGGTGCAACAAGGCACTTGTGTTGCAACCGAGAAATGTTCAACACCTTTGAGACCGTTGAGGGCGAGAAGGTTTGGATGGGAAACTCTGCTCAGTCTGCTGTGGAAGGCGTGGGCAAGATGGTTCTGAAGATGACTTCCGGGAAGGAACTGACGTTGAACAACGTGCTGTATGTTCCAGAGCTGAGGAAGAATCTGGTGTCTGGCTCACTGTTGAACAAGCATGGCTTTCGCATGGTGTTCGAGTCAGACAAGGTTGTTTTGTCTAAGCTAGGAATGTTTGTAGGCAAAGGTTATGTAACTGATGGGCTTTTTAAGCTCAATGTAATGCCTATCATCATGAATAAGAGCAAAGTTAATTCCGTTTACTTGCTTGAGTCTTCCAATTTGTGGCATGGTAGACTAGGTCACGTTAATTATAATTCTATACGTAGATTAATTAACATGGACCATATTCCTAATTTTCAAATTAACACAAATAACAAATGTGAAATTTGTGTTGAGGCAAAATTAACGAAAGTACCTTTCAAATCGGTTGAAAGGGAAACTGAACCACTAGAATTAATCCATAGTGATTTGTGCGATTTTAGATCGATACAAACGAGAGGTGGTAATAAATATTTTATCACGTTTATCGATGATAGCACACGTTATTGCTATGTGTATTTGCTTAAAAGCAAAGACGAAGCCTTGGAAAAATTCATTCTTTATAAGAATGAAGTTGAAAACCAACTTAATTGTAAGATTAAGAAAGTTAAAAGCGATCGAGGTGGTGAGTACGAAGCACCTATTGGTGACTTCTGTGCGAGTGTAGGTATAATACACGAGCGTACTGCACCTTACTCACCTCAATCGAACGGTGTTGCCGAGCGAAAGAATCGTACATTGAAAGATATGATGAATGCGATGCTTATAAGTTCGGGCCTACCTCAAGACGCGTGGGGTGAAGCTATTTTGACAAGTAATTACCTTTTGAATAAGGTACCCCACAAGAAGCTCGATAAGACTGCTTATGAGCTGTGGAACGGTAGGAAACCTTCCTACCAGTACCTGAAAGTGTGGGGGTGTCTTGCCAAGGTTTTGGTGCCAACACCTAAGAAAGTAAAGATAGGTCCTAAGACAGTGGACTGTATCTTTATTGGCTATGCACATAATAGTAGTGCTTATCGGTTTTTAGTACACGAGTCCCATAATCCGGACGTACACGAGAACACGATAATAGAATCAAGGAATGCATCTTTCTTTGAAAATGTATTTCCTTGTAGGTCCAATGAGGGACCGAGTTCGTCAAAACGAACATTTGACGAAGCTAGGGATAATGATAGTGGGGAATCCGAGAGAGAACCCGAGCTCGAGCCAAGACGCAGTAAGAGGGCGAGAGTTGGAAAATCATTCGGTCCTGATTTTCTAACTTGTTGGAGTATGATTCGAGTACTCTAACTTGTTTATTAGAAAATGAACCCGATTTTCTATCTTGTTTGATAGAAAACGAGCCTCGAACGTACGGAGAAGCCGTGACTTCTACAGAAGGACCAATGTGGAAAGAGGCTATTAAAAGTGAAGTGGATTCTATTTTACAGAATCACACTTGGGAACTTGTTGATCTTCCTCCGGGTAGTAAACCCTTAGGATCCAAGTGGGTCTTTAAAAGGAAGATGAAACCCGATGGTTCCATCGAGAAGTATAAGGCTAGGCTTGTAATCAAGGGTTACAGGCAACGCGAGGGCCTTGATTACTTCGACACGTATTCTCCCGTGACGAGAATAAACTCCATTAGAATGATACTTGCTATAGCCGCGCTGCGGAATTTGGAAGTTCATCAAATGGACGTTAAAACCGCTTTCCTAAATGGCGAACTAGATGAGGAAATCTATATGGAACAACCCGAAGGGTTCGTGGTTCCGGGCCAAGAAAGGAAAGTGTGTAAGTTGGTTAAATCGCTATATGGTTTAAAACAAGCGCCTAAGCAATGGCACGAGAAGTTTGACCATGCGATGTTAACTAATGGGTTTAAAATAAACGAAAGTGACAAATGTGTCTACGTTAAGGAAACGATAGACGGTTATGTCATTCTTTGTTTATACGTAGATGACATGCTCATCGTTGGTAGTAACGATCGAATGATCAAGTCTACCAAAAACATGTTAAATACGAGATTTGACATGAAGGATATGGGTTTGGCTGATTTAATCCTCGAGATTAGAATCATTAGAAGACCTGATGGTCTGGTGTTAAGCCAATCACATTATATTGATAAAATCCTTGAAAAATTTAACAAGGATAATCATCAAGGGACTAGGACGCCATTAGATTGAAGCGTTCATCTAACCAAGAACCACGGAGAGTGTATTTCTCAAGTAGAATATGCTCGGGTTATTGGTAGTTTGATGTATCTAATGAGCTGTACTAGGCCGGATATTGCCTTTGCGGTTAGTAAACTCAGTAGATATACGAGTAACCCCGGTGCCATGCACTGGACGGCAATAGTGAAGGTTCTGAGATACTTAAGGTATACTCGAGACCTTGGACTGCACTATGGGAGATATCCTGCTATACTTGAAGGGTATAGCGACGCTAGCTGGATATCCGATATTAAGGACTCCAAGTCCACAAGTGGATACGTGTTTACACTAGCCGGTGCAGCCGTTGCATGGAAATCCTCTAAACAGACCGTGATAGCTAGATCCACGATGGAATCTGAGCTGATAGCCTTGGACAAATGTTGTGAAGAGGCTGAATGGCTACGCCATTTTTTAGAGGATATTCCTAATTGGGAAAGACCTGTACCTCCAATGTGTGTGCATTGCGATAGTCAAGCTGCAATTGGACGAGTACAGAATCATATGTATAATGGTAAGTCTAGACATGTGCGTCGTAGACATAAATACCATTAGATAACTTCTCACAACTGGTGTTGTCTCGATTGACTACGTAAAGTCAGAAGACAATATAGCGGATCCGCTAACCAAAGGGTTATGTAGAGTAGCTGTGGAGAAGTTGAGACGAGGAATGGGGTCTAAAGCCCTTGGTATAATGTTCTATAGTGGACACCCAACCTAGCTGGCACCTAGGTTCAATGGACAACTAAATTATGGAATGGAGGCGTGTCACTGTGGGGGGTCTCGGATCCCCTACCACTCCTCGTTAGAAATAGTGGCTCCCGCACAAGGTTAGCATGTTAAATGCTTTAGTGATTCGAATGTCGGTTGACATATGTGAGTATGCGGGATACTCGGGAAAGAATCACCTATGTGAGAGAGAAGTGAGGGTCGCTTCAAAGGAGAATTGACGGGCACAATTCTTCACAAACTCTTGCAGAACCAGGAATGGTGACCCACGAACAAAATGGGCACAAATCATGAGAACAAAGCATGTTTGGAGGTTCCTGTGTGAGATATGTCATCGTCTACACAAACGGCAGTCGGTTCAAAGACATCGCGTTCTACCGTACAGTCAGTAGAGTAAATATATCTTCACGAGGGAAGGTTCAAAGGGTGTGACCCTACCTATCCTATGCAGGGATCGACCGTTGAACACAGTTGTTTCCGTTTTAAAACTACCCCGAAAATCAATTTTCATTCATGTGGGGGATTGTTGGAAATATTAGCTTAAAATGGCATAAAATGGCATATTAAGTGGCTATTTTGTGGTACAATTATCAGTGGGGTCCACTTCCGATTTGGGTCGGGTCAAAGTGTATTCGGATTCTTCGTAGTAAGACGAAGAGATTGATATATTGTACGCTCAAAACGGATAATGGGTGAATGAGATATTGATTCTCAAAGTAGACCCATTTAAGTTGGGAAATGAAGGGAAAATGTAGGACTTTGTCCCACATTGGTTTGGAAACAAGATTTGCCCCTCTTATATACATGAGCTCTTTTCAAGCTTGTAGAATTGTATAGCATAGAGGCTCTCTCGCGTGGGGGGGGGGGGGGTGCAAATCAAAATCCAACTAGAGGACATCAAAAAGGCTTGAAATCAAGCCCGAGCTCGTGCGCCGGCACCTGCGGGCACGAATGTCGTCCGGAAATGGGCTGGCCTTGCAGGCTAAGTTATGCCTAAAGTGAGGTAGAAGCAGTAGCATTTTACACAGTGAGAAACAAAGGAATTCCAGTAACTTTTCATCTCAAAACTTCTGCTTCTACTCTCTTCTTTAGCCAATTTGTGTTCAAGCTTTGCTTTGTTCGACGGGTTCCTTGTTTAGGTGCTTAAACAAGGAATCGTAGCACGTTTTATCCAACATTCAATCTGAGACACCTTGCTCTCTCAGCAATGGTTCTATTCAGCCGCTCAGCAACACCATTCTGTTGTGGTGTCTTACGCACTGTATAGTGCCTTTGAATTCCATGTTCTGCACAGAATTTCTGAAATTCTTTCTTAGTATATTCTGTCCCGTTGTCAGACCTCAGGTACTTGATTTTTCTTCCAGTCTAGTTCTCAACCTCAGCTTTCCACAACTTAAATTTCTCAAACACTTCAGATTTATGTTTCAAGAAATACACCCAGACTTTCCTAGAAAAATCGTCAATAAATGTAACATAATATCGAGAGCCACCCATTGAAGGTTCCGTGGTAGGTCCCCAAACATCAGAGTGCACATAATCTAGAATCCCTTTAGTTTTATGCAGCCCATTAGAAAAAATGACTCTAGTCTGTTTCCCAAGGACACAGAACTCTCAGAAATCTAGCTTACAACATTTAACTCCTTTTAACAGATTCCTTTGTGCAAATCAGACAAACCACGTTCACCAAGGTGACCCAAATGTAAATGCCACAACCTAGTAGTATCATCACTAGACTCAACAGAATGTGCTCCACCTACAACAGTACTACCCAACAACCTATAAATGTTCCCTGTGGTCCTTTTACCTTTCATCACAGTTAAAGCACCTTACTAATTTTAATG